CGCATCACGCGACCAGAACTCCAACCAATGGCAGTGCAGTATTATTGTCACGTGTCTCCTTCTGTATAACGTGCCAATATACTGCACTGCCATTGGAGGGATTTTGGGTCACATGATGAGGACGTATATCTTACATATATACGTTTTGGTATAATTTTGACACAGTTTAATGTCAATTCTCAAGACAGGAACACCAGTTATATGTTATATAGGTATCGTTAACTCCTGAGATTCTCAGGTTTCAGTCTATGCCCACCTCTCATTTTTTCTTTACAGTCCCTTTAAACTATAATTTTCTAATCCCTATACCTTTGCAACCCCATGATGTGGGAAACACTTGATATTAAAAACGATAACTGTTTGATACAGCAGAATTTTTAGGTCAAAATTTTAAAGGTCTAGAAGACACAAAAATACAAGGATTAGAGCATTAGAATGAGAGGAGAGTGATTTCAACAAGATCAGTTCCTTCAAAATATTAAAATACTTAAATATTTTTTTTGAAATGAAAAATACTAACGTTTGTGCACTGGAAACTGTTGATGTCTTTTTCTTGCAGATAACCTTGATAGCGACCCTATGCAGGTCCGGGATACGGAACCCTAGCCGCACCTCACCACATGCGCCTCGTCCCAACAACTGAATATTTCAGAGGTGTCAAGAGGGGGGATAGCAGTTCGGGGGTTGGAGGAAGAGATTGCAGTTCGGGGGTTGGTGAGGGGATTGCAGTTCNACCAACCAACCAACCAACCAACCAACCAACCAACCAACCAACCAACCAACCAACCAACCAACCAACCAACCAACCAACCAACCAACCAACCAACCAACCAACCAACCAACCAACCAACCAACCAACCAACCAACCAACCAACCAACCAACCAACCAACCAACCAACCAACCAACCAACCAACCAACCAACCAACCAACCAACCAACCAACCAACCAACCAACCAACCAACCAACCAACCAACCAACCAACCAACCAACCAACCAACCAACCAACCAACCAACCAACCAACCAACCAACCAACCAACCAACCCACCCACCCACTAATCAATCCATCAACCAACCAACCAACCATTCAAACCAACCAACCAATGAAACTAAATACATTTGAGTTTGACATTACAAAACCACCAAAATATCACTTTCGTGCGATGTAAATATCTATACGACAACATCAAAAACATAGATGATTGCATAAATGTCGTCTGTGTGTTCCACGGATTTAAGAATGTGACTGTACTGTTGTGATTTATTGATATATTCCTGATAACGTAGTCCATAGACCTTCCTCGACCAAGCTTGAAGGAGTCTGTAGACAAGGCTAACCGAGGGAATGTTCCGCAGTGAGGATACAGCTGTCCCCAAACCTACTCATCAACAAATTAATTAATGAAAGGATAAATACATTGATGAATGAATGAATAAATGAATGAGTGAGTGAATCAAAGATAGTCCAATAGTAGAAGGTAATCCATTAGGAATTTATCCGAATAGTGTGCACGCTTCGTACACTTGTAAATGACATTATTGGATGCAGTATTGTTTTTGAATTCCAACATTCAACATTAAAAGTAAAACTATAGCTAAATTATTTGTAGGTGCTAAAAATGGTTAAAAATTAACGCCACGGTTATAAAATTCTACATTTGTTTAATCATTTTTAGGACAGTATGCTCTCCTGCTAAAATAAAGCTAAAATTGTAATTGTTACGCATCTCATTTGTTTGAAAAATACCAAATATTTTAAAACAAAATTTGTTAGACGTCAATTAGTATAGTTTTCTATTAGTTTAAAGCAGAATTTAGGCCGGTAAAGTGAGCAAGGCCCTAAAAAAACCTTAGTTTGAAGGGGCTAAAAAATTGCAAACCAAACATGGCAATCTGTTTTAAGATAAAGTTTATCCACAAACATATTAAAGTTACGCATTTCTATCGGGAAATTACGTAAAAAAACAAGTTTTTTGGTGAGAGATATGCTTAGAAAGTAAAAAAATCTTTTTAAATTATAGCAAAGACGACTTTTGTGTTTTTTTTTTAACTAAACCAATTGAATAAATGAACAAATGAACAAATGAACAGATGAACAGATGAACAGATGAACAGATGAACAGATGAACAGATGAACGGATGAACAGATGAACAGATGAACAGATGAACAGATGAACAGATGAACAGATGAATAGATGAATAGATGAATAGATGAATAGATGAACAGATGAATAAAAGAATAAATGAATGATAAGATGAATGAATGAATGAGATGATACCTGTGGATGAGTCTGAGTATCTTCCTCCTCTAGTTCTTCAATAGGTTGTGTAGGAAGCTGGGAATGAATCTCCCCTTCCTCCTAGATAGATAGATAGATAGATAGATAGATAGATAGATAGATAGATAGATAGATAGATAGATAGATAGATATATAGATATATAGATAGATAGATAGATAGATAGATAGATAGATAGATAGATAGATGGATAGATGGATAGATAGATAGATAGACAGAAATTAGTAGATGAATAAACGAATAGATGGATATATTCATAAAGATAGACAAATAGACAAGTGTTTGAATATATAAATTACCTGGAAACCCTGTTTGGATACACACAACCCATCTGTTTCATCCCCCGCCATCTTACATAAATTAATTTTAAAAAATTTCTCTTTTAAAAATGATTATTACTACAAATAAAGAGATGTACACTCCCTTAATTGGCCTAGATGCTTTATAATAATACAAAAGATGAGAATATATAGAAGAAAGTATAAATTTCCTTAATTAGTGGTTGTTAGAAGCCAATAAGAAGTATTTCTTTCTTTTTTCATCATATCGTGATTAAAGTCTAGCATAATAATAATAATAGATTTTTGGAGAATATCTGGGTTTTCAAGTTAAATAAATTAACAGCAATTGTGCCTATCGCTTTTTAAAACATTGTTACTCGTCTCGTGTAAATTAAAAACATTATTTCTCGCCGAAAAAAAACTTGTTTCTTGTAAATCAGGATTTGAAATGGGTGGAATTCAAATTAGTTTCCAGAGATAAATAATACTTCATATTTTTTTAATATTTTGAACAGTCAATTTGTTATATTTTCTCATCTATTCGTCCAGTATACAAAAAAAATTTTAAAAAGCGCAAAATTCCGTGTAAATTTACATTTCAGCTAATAGAATAAAAAATAAAAATCTGTAATTGGTAGATCAATCAGGCTTAGTTATGAAGTTATGATCAGTGCTTCAAAAAAACCCAAATCTCATAAATTTTTAGCATATAAAAATAAGCAAAAAGGAACAAGAAAAAGCAACATTTTTCTTTTGTTGAAAAAATCAGAAAAATATGTTCATGATCCATTTTTTTC